GCCCTCAGAGTCATTAGTTTGAGTGTAGCCTCCTCCCCTAGTCCGAGATCTTGGTGGCCATGAAAAAGGCTGCCCGGTCGTTGGTTTGATGTAAAAGCAACCCACTCCAAAAAACAATCTAAACAAAACACCCCGCTGGAAGGTCTGGGCATCAATACAGGGAACCGTTGGGTTTTTGAAGGGAATGTTAGTTGAAAACGATATTAGCCCACATCTAGGGTACACAGAAACAACACATTGTCTGATTATCTTTCATATCTCTAGTCTACTTTAGACTGGCCCCACTATTCTACCGGTATCAAAGTCACCCAATTTGGTAGGTTAAAGTGGAGATGCCCAAGATTCAGCCGAAGCGGCTTGTAGAGGCAATCGCTGCACACGATCACATCGAAGCGCTCGGCCTAGCAATCGATGCGCCAAACCTGGACATTTTTCCTATCTGACCCCCCCCCTTTAATGGCTGGTATGCGGGGGCCTTTTTTGAAGGAACCGTTTTCTCTTTGAGAAAGGACGCCTTTCGGGCCCCCCTTTTTACAGTGCATTCGAGCAAGAAACAAACACTGGTTTGGAATTTTATATTTAAAAACAAGATCAAAGGAATCCAACTTGGCTGACATCAACACGCCTTGGCTCCTTTTCCCATATGTGCTTGACCTCGGGAGGCAACATAGACTGTGGCTTCTCGGCTGGCGGAAAGCACCTTCCTGCCAATCTCCAACTCGCCACATTGAATCAGAGAGATGTATGTACCATAGTGAAAAATCAGCGTGGGTCGTGGTTCTTGTTTCCTGACTTCCCTTCCAAACATCCAGCAACCAAGGCGTTTCCTCCTCCCAAAGAGCTTGAGCAGGAATCCGTATCATACCAGTCAAAGCATCACTTCGGGGAGACCCACCCTTCCATCCCTTCCAAGCTCGCTTGCCCCGCCTCCGAGGGGCACGGCGTGTGCCTGGCCGCTTGGCCGGTGAACCATGGGCCAAGCAGAGTTACAAACACGCAAGCGTTGGGAAAGGGCCGAGAGATGGAACTTCCATGTGGAGCCTCAGCACGTTTGAAGGAACCCTTTGGAGTAAGCAATGGTCCGGTTGCCGAATGTTTCTTGCCCTTTGCCCGGATGCAAAGTCAGCTGTGCCGAATCTTGTTCGGATAAAAATGATGTTTGTTTTCTTTATTGGGGGGAGGGGTTGACATGATTCCATTCATGTCAACCTCGGATTAGTCAACCTGTGGGGTGCAGGTCCTTCTGGTCCTTCCATCTTTCACATGCCGGTGATTGGGCGACACGTGGAAGGGCTCTGAATGCCAAACCTCATCGTCCTGGGAATCCAAGACAAACTATTCCCCAAAATGGTTGTGGGTCAAAAATAGGCTAACCCCAAACTGGGTTGCCCTGGTAAATGGAAATATGGACTAACACCCGCGGTCGAGTGGTTCAATTTTGACCCACACCCAACTTCCTCCCACTTCGAAAGCAATGGGGAGAACTTGCCCTCCCTGAGGCTCTGCCAGGAGGTCACTGCAAATGGGACTAAGTCTACCAAAGTTGGACAAACCAACAAGCGGGGATACGGAAAAAGCGGGGAGATTGGGGGGATTCCCTTGGCGCCATGTCCCATATCAAACTTGGTCAAGGTGCATTTAGGGGGAATCCTCCCGTATCCCTGGTCTCCCCTGTATGCCTGCTAGTTGGTTTGCCTGACAAAGGTCCTGGGAGCTCAAATGATAGCTTGGGAGATGGCAATCAACTGGGTTGCCGCTACATAGTCCAGAAAGCGCAACCCTGCACTAAGGTACTGGGGTGGCTACTCAAAATGGTTGTCGAAACTTGGCGTTGGGCCTTGCGCCTTCCTGTTCAAACAGGCCGCGGTGCAAAGGTTCCTTCACAAAAGCCGGCAGCATCTAGGTGTCCTTGTAGGGGAAATAGATGGCCCTGGTAGATGATTAAACCACCAGGTAAACCAAGGGCCATCTATTTTTCTACCAAAACAACCAAAAAGAGCACCTATGGGCAACATGCCCTTCTTCGCCGGCTTTATCTGTGCATCACATCATGTGGGGATGTCATCAAACTGCTTCACGACCTCCTTTTGGGCTGGTGATACAAAGGGCAAAACCAAAAACTGGGCTCTTTCCAGATCACCTGCCAAAAGTCTAACTTTCCGTGGCTTTATGGAAACTACCACTAAACCAGCGAAAGAGCCAAACAACCTAAGGAACCAAACGGCTGGGAACAATCCCAAAAAATAACGCCACCCGTTTTGGGCGTTTTGGATTCGTGTTTCGAAATCTGCAAACCATTGGAACGCAACCTATCTGAGCAAAACATCATCCACAACTACCTCACGAAAAAAGCTATTTGATTCTGGAGCATATCCAGTGAACCTGAAACTGATAAAATAATCTCAAAGGTGGTGCCAGTCAAGAAAATATAGCCTTCCTCATGGGTGAACTTGTTGTTCGCCTGAGGCTGCGATCATTGCCCCAACCACCCCAATTCGGCCTGCCGCGCGTGAAGCCAGCTGCAGCCAGAACGTCCATCTCGGGACAGAAACTTTCGGGTTTGACAAATCTACCTGCCCCTGTAGACATCCCTAACAGTTGCTCCCCTGCAAATTAGCTTAGATGCTCAGTGGCCATGGGAAAAAGAGGCATGCATGTTTGGTTGAGCTTAAGACTGGCCTAGTCTATCTTACCACCATCAAAGCCGACTAAGTGGTAGGTTAGCGAGACGCCACCTGCCAGTTTCTGACTTTGATAATCCCCAGCAACAGTCAACATAATTAATGACCCCAAACAGCTTCTCCCCTGCAAACAACATGGAACCCACAAAAAAGGTTCCCCCAAAAAAGAGTTGCATCTACCAACGTCATAGTTTCTGCAAAGGGTTCCTTGTTGATCTGGAGCGCAGATCAATTCACCTCCCGTGAATTGCAGGGCTGTAACCTTTGGGGCCCGGTTGGCCCGGTAGGCCGGGGCCCGGGGGTACCGAACAAGAAAGCCCCAGGTCAATCACGGCGGCAGCAAATCCTCGGATTCGCTCCCCTTGCAAAAAGAATGGCGTTGTTCCGTTCAAAGGACGCAAAACCAGTGGCAATAGCAATATGAGATTCAATTGGGACCTTGTGGACATGAAAATTCGGTGGGGCTTCATGTCCATCGCTTGTAAGGTGGTTTCAAGGAAATAAACAACATATAGCCATGTGCTTTCCAAAAGAGCCCCTTTGCAGGTGGTGTATCCGAGAAATGGGGAATCATCCATCCCAGCTGGTGCAGGATGCTGTCCATCCAAGGTATCATTTGGGGCAACCTTCTCACTTTGGGCTGAAACAAGCTCCATGTAGGATCCTTTTCTGGAGACTCTTGAATTTCGGTTGAATCGCAATGTGCCCAGTAGGATCTCAATAATTGCCAACGGTTGGGGGGGCCTGCGTGCTTCTTGCAAGGCTGGGTGGCATCTCTGTCCAAGAGCATCGGTGCAGGACTTTGTCCGCCAACAGTATGCTTTGATGTGCCCAGAATGGCATCGGTTTTCTTCTTGGCTTCCGTGTAAAACCCACCAAACAAGGGGTACCCTCAAAGAAAGACACGCCAATGCCAATGTGTCAAAGTGCAACATGGGCCGTAAGCCATCATAACGACAGGTCCATGGTCCATGCTTCCTTCACCGCTCCCTCATCCTCACACGGCAGCACAATGCAGCACGCATGCCTTATACAAGGTGTATGTTACAAGTGAAAGAACAGAAGCGGCATACTGCAAGCCGCGCAACTCAAGCCCGCCAACAAAGGACAGCATGTCAGCATGTCAGCATGCAGGGCCGTGATCAGACAGCAGGACGGTGTTTGACTCACAAGCGTTTTCCACAACGTACCCCCGGTGGGAGCACTAGGGTCTGCCGAATGGAAACTTGTAAGGATCATCCTCACACGGCATGCATGCCTCAGACAAGCTGCACTTCACAAGTTAAACAACAGAAGCGGCATACCGCAAGCCGCACGACTCAAGCCCACCAACGCAGGACGGCATGTCAGCATGTCAGCAAGTAAGCGTGTCCTCGTGCAAGGCCGTGATCAGACAGCAGGACGGTGTTTGACTCACAAGCGTTTTCCACAACGTACCCCCAGTGGGAGCACTAGGGTCTGCCGAATGGAAACTTGTAAGGATCATCCTCACACGGCAGCACGCACGCCTCACACAAGCTCTACTTCACAAGTTCACCAACAGAAGCGGGATACCGCAAGCCGCACGACTCAAGCCCACCAACACAGGACGGCATGTCAGCATGTCAGCAAGTAAGCGTGTCCTCGTGCAAGGCCGTGATCAGACAGCAGGACGGTGTTTGACTCACAAGCGTTTTCCACAACGTACCCCCAGTGGGAGCACTAGGGTCTGCCGAATGGAAACTTGTAAGGATCATCCTCACACGGCAGCACGCACGCCTCACACAAGCTCTACTTCACAAGTTCACCAACAGAAGCGGGATACCGCAAGCCGCACGACTCAAGCCCACCAACACAGGACGGCATGTCAGCATGTCAGCAAGTAAGCGTGTCCTCGTGCAAGGCCGTGATCAGACAGCAGGACGGTGTTTGACTCACAAGCGTTTTCCACAACGTACCCCCAGTGGGAGCACTAGGGTCTGCCGAATGGAAACTTGTAAGGATCATCCTCACACGGCAGCACGCACGCCTCACACAAGCTCTACTTCACAAGTTCACCAACAGAAGCGGGATACCGCAAGACGCACGACTCAAGCCCACCAACACAGGACGGCATGTCAGCATGTCAGCAAGTAAGCGTGTCCTCGTGCAAGGCCGTGATCAGACAGCAGGACGGTGTTTGACTCACAAGCGTTTTCCACAACGTACCCCCAGTGGGAGCACTAGGGTCTGCCGAATGGAAACTTGTAAGGATCATCCTCACACGGCACGCATGCCTCAGACAAGCTGTGCTTTACAAGTGTCACAACAGAACTGACATACCCCCAGCCGCACAACTCAAGCCCACCAACACAGGACGGCATGTCAGCATGTCAGCATGTCAGCATGTCAGCATGTCAGCATGCAAGGCCGTGATCAGACAGCAGGACGGTGTTTGACTCACAAGCGTTTTCCACAACGTACCCCCAGTGGGAGCACTAGGGTCTGCCGAATGGAAACTTGTAAGGATCATCCTCACACGGCAGCACGCACGCCTCACACAAGCTGTACTTCACAAGTTCACCAACAGAAGCGGGATACCGCAAGCCGCACGACTCAAGCCCACCAACACAGGACGGCATGTCAGCAAGTAAGCGTGTCCTCGTGCAAGGCCGTGATCAGACAGCAGGACGGTGTTTAACTCACAAGCGTTTTCCACAACGTACCCCCAGTGGGAGCACTAGGGTCTGCCGAATGGAAACTTGTAAGGATCATCCTCACACGGCAGCACGCACGCCTCACACAAGCTGTACTTCACAAGTTCACCAACAGAAGCGGGATACCGCAAGCCGCACGACTCAAGCCCACCAACACAGGACGGAATGTCAGCAAATAAGCGTGTCCTCGTGCAAGGCCGTGATCAGACAGCAGGACGGTGTTTGACTCACAAGCGTTTTCCACAACGTACCCCGAGTGGGAGCACTAGGGTCTGCCGAATGGAAACTTGTAAGGGTCATCCTCACACGGCATGCATGCCTCATACAAGCTGCACTTCACAGGTTAAACAACAGAAGCGGGATACCGCAAGCCGCACGACTCAAGCCCACCAACACAGGACGGCACGTCAGCAAGTAAGCGTGTCCTCGTGCAAGGCCGTGATCAGACAGCAGGACGGTGTTTGACTCACAAGCGTTTTCCACAACGTACCCCCAGTGGGAGCACTAGGGTCTGCCGAATGGAAACTTGTAAGGATCATCCTCACACGGCAGCACGCATGCCTCAGACAAGCTATACTTCACAAGTTAAACAGCAAAAGCGGCATACCCCCAGCCGCAAGACTCAAGCCCACCAACACAGGACGGCATGTCAGCATTTCAGTATGTCCGCATGCAAGGCCGTGATCAGACAGCAGGACGGTGTTTGACTCACAAGCGTTTTCCACAACGTACCCCCGGTGGGAGCACTAGGGTCTGCCGAATGGAAACTTGTAAGGATCATCCTCACACGGCATGCATGCCTCAGACAAGCTGCACTTCACAAGTTAAACAACAGAAGCGGCATACCGCAAGCCGCACGACTCAAGCCCACCAACGCAGGACGGCATGTCAGCATGTCAGCAAGTAAGCGTGTCCTCGTGCAAGGCCGTGATCAGACAGCAGGACGGTGTTTGACTCACAAGCGTTTTCCACAACGTACCCCCAGTGGGAGCACTAGGGTCTGCCGAATGGAAACTTGTAAGGATCATCCTCACACGGCAGCACGCACGCCTCACACAAGCTCTACTTCACAAGTTCACCAACAGAACTGACATACCGCAAGCCGCACGACTCAAGCCCACCAACACAGGACGGCATGTCAGCATGTCAGCAAGTAAGCGTGTCAGCATGTCAGCATGGCAGCATGCAAGGCCGTGATCAGACAGCAGGACGGTGTTTGACTCACAAGTGTTTTCCACAACGTACCCCAGGTGGGAGCACTAGGGTCTGCCGAATGGAAACTTGTAAGGATCATCCTCACACGGCAGCACGATGCAGCACGCATGCCTCATATTTGATACAAGCTGTACTTTACAAGTTAAACAACAGAAGCGGCATACCCCCAGCCGCACAACTCAAGCCCACCAACACAGCATGTCAGCATGTCAGCATGCAAGGCCGTGATCAGACAGAAGGACGGTGTTTGACTCACAAGTGTTTTCCACAACGTACCCCAGGTGGGAACACTAGGGTCTGCCGAATGGAAACGCACGCATGCCTCAGACAAGCTGTACTTCACAAGTTTCACAACAGAAGCGGCATACTGAAAGCCGCACGACTCAAGCCCACCAACATAGGACGGCATGTCAGCATGTGCATGTCCGCATGCAGTGCCGTGATCAGACAGCAGGACGGTGTTTGACTCACAAGCGTTTTCCACAACGCACCCCCAGTGGGAGCACTAGGGTCTGCCGAATGGAAACTTGCAAAGATCATCCTCACACGGCCGCACGATGCAGCACGCATGCCTCATACAAGCTTTACATCACAAGTTAAGCAACAGAAGCGGCACACCGCCAGCCGCATGACTCAACCTGCACAACACAAACAAGGTTTCATTTTTCAACACGGGTGGCTGGATTCCCCCTGCAACAGTTGCAATTGACTGCTGTGTTCGCAAGAAACTGCAACTTTTGGAGGTTTCTAGCCTGTTCAATGCATGCCCCTTTCCCTCACTGTTCCCAACAACAACCTACCATACCTAGGTCCTGCAGTAGAGAGGTTAGAATAAGCATACCCTTTTTTTCAGTTTTGTCTATTTTAGTAGGGGAACCCTCCCCCCAAAAAAGAAACGGGTGAGAAAGGGCACCAATTGCTGGGAAGCCTAGATACCTTTCATTGCTGAGCGTGAGCTGCGGAAGCGGGCTGTTGGATCCTGGAGATCAGTCTGCGCGATGTATGGCTTCTGCATGGTTCAGAACGATCACCGAAACTTGAAACCGCGGGCACTCGTTCCTTTCGCCTCCCTGGACCAACCCCTCCAACTTGAAACTGAGTTGTTCCTTGAATTTGCCACAGGAACCAACCAGCGCCATCCTTTGGATCCATCAGTCAACCTAAGGAATTGTCCAAAGTGCCCCAATTCTCGGGGTACAAAACCCTCGGCAGACAATGCTTCGGGAACCAGCCATTCTTGAAAAGGAAAACTGGTAGCATTTCTATAACCCAAGTGGCGCTTTTAACTGGGCTTCTAGGGTTCGAACAAAGGAAAAAGGAACCAGCCCCCCCAACTGCTTTTCCCACCATGCAACCAAAATCCCTTTGGTGCGGGGCACCTTTGTCCATCCAAAATCCCGCTGTACGGTAACCAATAAGTCTAGGTCCTCCAGATTTGAGAGGTTAGAATAAGTTGGTACCCGATCTTTTTTCAGTTGTCTGTTTTAGTAGGGGAACCCTCCCCAAAAAGGGGTGAGAAAAGGCACCTAGCTGGGGGACCTAGTGGTGACCAAACCCGGTGCTCTTCCAGAGTATCGTTCCATCGCCTGCTTGATCTCCAGCCCGGGCAGATCTTGTGCCTCTGCCGCTGCCTCACAGGATGGGACTCCAGAAGGGCAGTTCGAGCGTGTGTGTGTGTGTGTGTGTGTGTGTGTGTGAGTGTGTGTGTGTCTTGTTGTGTTTGCGTTAATATATATATATATATACTAAAATATAAATATATGGCACCCCCCAACATGGATCTACCTTCTTTCATAATTCACTGGAATTGTGGAAAGCAGCAATAAAAGGCACATGTCCAAAGAAAATCTGAAAGCTTTAGGCCAAACTGTTCCAGGGAATCGTGAATCCAGTCGGTTTGGATACTCCTCTGTCCTATTTCTAAGCTGAGGCTTGGTCAGAAGATGTAAGCTATGTTGGGGCCAATGACTAAAATGTTGTTCTTTTTTTATGGAGCCAATGAGTCAAAAGGAAAAAACAACATAAAGAAGTGTTGTTATTTTTGTTTATTTGTTTCTAGTAAAACAGTAAAACATAAAGCAGTCCATGGTCAGTGCATGTTCCTTCAGGACCATGGGCTGATTTGTTTTATATGTTTACTCATTTTGTTTTCATGTGTCTTTTTACTTGTGGATCTCTGGCTCCAGAAACTTTCTTTTGTTTACTTTTGTGTCATTGGCTCCAGGTTCTTGTTTTGTTTCTTTTCTTCTTTTGCATTTGTCTTTTTCTTGGGTCATTGGCTCCAAACTTTACGCCTTTACTCTTGGGCTATTGGATCCAGAATTTAACTTTTGCTTTTGGACCTTCGGCTCCAAAACAGCTGCTGTTGCATCTGACCAAACCTCAGCTCAGAATGGACCGGTTTGCGGTGCAGGATTTGGGGTTTATTGACTCACGCTTCTAGGAATCGGACTTATTTCTCGTAGATGATTGCTCAATGATTTTCATTGGAAACATGTGTTAATTATTTTCATTGGAAACATGTTTGTTGTTCAAATCAACTCACTGTGTGCGTGTTTGTTCTTGTCTTGTTGGCTTTGAATTCAAAATATTCGATAAGGATTAAAACATTGCAAAAACAAACAGATTTGTCGTCGCAAAATAGATTTGCAAGGTGGTTTAATGGGGCATCCTTTTCTAGGATTGTGTTTGTTCAACTTTCTAATTAGAATTGAAATGGAATTTAATAAGGAACAAACCTTAGTAGAGTTTCTAGTTTAAAGAGAATTCAAACAATATTTGCTTTGCGAACAAGATGTGTAATCAAAATTGTTATTGAACGCATACTGTGCTCAACATAATTTGATAAGGATATCTCTAATAAAATTTATAGTTTTTAAGACAACTTAAATAGGTTGTTGTTGTGTTTAAGACGCTTTTCAATAATTGGAACTCTTATTTCAAATGAGATGTTCAAAAGGATGTCTTTTTCCATGATGATGTGCTCTATTTTCCAAAAGAGAACTTAAACAGACATTAAATGTGAGCAACACCTAATATGATTTCTAGACTTAAAGATGGTTTGAATAGGATTTCCATTTTGAAGAACATGTCTAATTGGGCAAATATGTTTAAAGACATGTGCCTGTGGTTTTGATGCAAGTTGTTCTTTTCTGTTGTCCTTGTTGTGTCTTGTTTGGCGGTTTCCTGTACGATTTTCATGCAGGTTGCTCCTTTTAGTTTCCTTGAACACATTCCAAAAGGGGTGCCCTCACAATCAGGCATCCCCAAACCGCCCTGTTTGGGCAATTGCCAAACTTCCTCTAGAATTGCCCATCGCTGGTGAAGGACATAAATGAAGCCTTCGCCGCAAATCTTGTCTCGTATTGCCAGACATTTCAAGCCGTGGCTGGACGAGATCATGCCCACTTGGGATAGACGAAGCCCTACAAATCATGGGGCAAACCACTTACCAACTGGTGCGAAATTGACTTTGTCAATCCACGGTATCTGGTTGATTTGTGAAAAATGGGTGTCTCGTTTGGTGATGGCCGCTTTTATATTATTATTATTACTATTCTTATTATTATTGTTAGTAGTAGTAGTATTATTATTAAGAACCGCACATTTTCGTGGTCTAACAAACACATATCCACATCTGATACCCCAGAGTTGGGCCAAATGCCCCGAAACGCGGAACCGTCGGAACCAACTCATTCTTTGACGCGGGTAAAAGAAGACACCCGGAGCCTTGACTCTTGACGCAAGTTCGCAACCCTTAGGGGCCACAACTTTTCGGCTTTCCACCTTTTCAACCCCCCAAATCACAAACGGGGTCCCGAAAAAATGGCACTCCCCCCGCCTTCTTTGAGGGCACCCCCTGGGCAGTGTTTATGGAAACCCAGAAGGAACAGCGACCATTTAGGTGGATCCGATTCCCAAGAGTCGAGCCACCCTTTTGGACACAAACACCCTACCAACCTGAAACTAGATTCCATGATTCTCTTCAGAACTCCAAGATCGATCAGCGCGATAAAGGACGCCTGCAAGAGCTTCAAAGGAAGCTCCTCCAAGTCGGTCGCAACAACCTCCGCACCTGCCGGGAGTTGAGAATATTTCCCTCGGAAACCTCCACAAAGCCACTGCCCCCAGAAAACCGAAAGAAACGCCCACAAAATATAAGGAGACCTCCACACCACAGGAAACCTGCAGACTTCCAAGGCCCCAAACCTCTGAAAAAGCCTCCGGAAAATCCAGACAACTTCCTGAAAACCTAAGGAGACCTCACAACATCTCCGGAAAATCCCGCTTGCATAAAATCTAGGGAAACCTTCCGAAAATCCCGGGGCCTGACAATCTACGCTCCAAGAAACTTGCAGGGGCTTCCAAGGGACTCCCGAAAGTCCCAGAACAACTATGGAAACCTCTAGAACATCCAGGCAAAAAGAATCACAGAAACCGAGGGACATCTCAGCAAAATTGACGAAACCTCGAGAAGCGTTGCCATACTGGGGGAAAGGATTGTTTAGAGCTTGTCAAGGAAAGCATTGCGCCAAAAAAAATACCCAAGATGGTCGATCACTAGAAACACCAGGAGCACAACTGGCGTGAAACCACTGGGAGGCGCGAGCGAGCGCCGTGACACGCTGCCCGGGAAACCTCCAGAACATCTAGGGAAGCCTCGAAACCCCAAAGCGACGCAGGGAAACCTCCAGATACTCTAGGGACACCTCCCGAAGACGCCGAAGCCCTGCATTTTTTTTGGTTTTTAGTGGCTTCCCCCGCCGCGTTTTCTTGGGAGACATGGGCGTGGTTGTCAAAAATAGGTACCCGAAATGGGTTGCCCTCGTAAAATGGAAGCCAGGACTCAAATCCGAGGTCACCTGGTGGTGCAATTTTGATCCACAGCCATATGTCCCCACCTCTGAACCTTAAAAATCTAGCGTCTAAGGGTAGGAACCGACTTGTTAGACTCGGGGTGTTAGACTCGGTGACCGATTCCTGTCCATCGTTCTAATCCATCGTTCTTTTCAATCCCAACCATCGTTCTCGCTTTCTACTTCATTCTTCTCAAAGGTCTGCCTCACCCTTGTTGATAGATTCTGGGCACAAGGATCCCTGGAAAGCATAGGAAGCTTGGCGGTTGCCATAATTGGATGTGTTTCCGCGCTCCTTGCCCACTGGTCACGGCCAAAAAAAAAAACATCGCCCTTGCATCTGCAACATCCCCTGCCGATGAGTGCTGACTCAATGACTCACACTGAGCCCACATTAATGCCTCTCCGAGCGCACCGTGCGGCGAAGCAGCTTGGATTCAAACCCGGGGCAGTGCGCCTTCTCTAAAGAGAGAAAGCCCAAAACAACTGCGGAAATCGGAGAAAAAAAGACAAAACACGACTCCAAGCGCGAGATCCCCAAGTAGGTCATCCAGTATTTGTAGGGCAAGCTCCTTTTGGATAAAGAGCCCCTTTGCTTCTGTGCATTTCCAGGGTTGCTGAAGGAAAAGTCAAAGGTTGGAAGGCCGATTTGTCTCCTCAACATGGGCGGTGCAATTTCAATGGAAAATCATCAATTCTGCATACTGCAAATTTCAAATGGGTGTGTCTTCTTGTGGGTACCATGTTTTGCGGTTTAAACGGAAGCCCAAGGAAAACTGACCCAAATTGCCCGAATCTTGAACCCGTGAAGCTTCCCCTGCCATGATAATACCCTTTTACACATATGTGACTCGCAGTCGAAGGATCAAGGGAAAAGCAGATCTGATCCGCATTTGTGTTTGTTGGGGTTGCCACTTGGCGATCTGAATCGTCCCTGCGGAGCTGACTTGCTGAAGAAAAGCAACAGCGCGCTTGATCAAACCGTTTTGGCCCAAGAAGAAGACGCCGGCCTTCTCAAAATCAATAAAAGCTTGCAAGTGAACACGGAACCCAAGAAACCAGCCTTGGGGAAGCTCCCTTTTGGGTTCCACGCAAGGTTTGGGCCATCCATTTCGCAACTCCGCCTGACGCCAGGGCGCACAGCGAGGGCAGGCCAGCGCCGCAGCCGAGTTCCTAAGGGACTTCTATGGATGGTTGCGACTCATCCGTTCGCAGATTTGGTTCGCCACGGTGGAAACCAGAACGTTTCTTGGAATTTACGTCGAACCGAATCATTCCAGGGTTTCTTTAAAGATTTGGTAGCGCAGGACTTCGTCCATCCACGGTATCCACCGTGCATCCAAGGGGTCTGATGCTAAAACCACGACCCCAAAACCACGCCCCCCAGAGGCTTTCTCTGGGATATACAGCGACTATGGCCACCATTAAGGGATTTGCCCCGGGTGGCTTCGGTTTGGGGGTGAAACCCATCTTAGGCCTCTAGAGTTGGGGGCAAAGCAACAGGACCCGGAAGACGGTGCCAGAAACTCCGACCCAAGGGATCATGGGCGACTCTCCCCCTCCCCCCCCCCCCCGGCCCCTATTCCTTAACTAGACCTTCAACATGTGCCTTGAACATGGGAGATTGCCCGAACATGATTTCCAATGTTCCTGATTTTCTGATGTTCCAGGGTACAGTGCAGCCAATTGGACACGAACCTGAGACGTGGACTGGGGATGGGACTTGTCGTCCTCTAGACCAAGAACTATTCTCCGCTCGGGTCTGCTGTCCCACTGGTTCTTCAGGCAAAGGATTTGTATGTCAAACCCTGACTCATGAATGTTTCGACTCAACTTTTCAGAGGAAAAAACAACTCAGAATCCCGGGCAAAAACACTGAAATGCAGATCCCTGACTGGTGAGTGATTTATTGGGGCCGGAGGGAGGGGATGGGAGCCCAAAATTAGCTCTCGAGCCCCAAACCCCAAGGCCTTATTTGGGCCACGAAGCTCCGTTGGATTTTAGGGCCGACAGTTCCGGGACACGGCGGTCGGCGTTATGTTGAAAGGTCCAGGATGTAGTTTGGGCAAGGCTCCAGTCCTTACTTCCCCTGATGTGGCTTTCAACATGATCGAATCAGAAGTTGGAAATCCAAATAGCTGGGATCCCTTTTGGGATTTGCAAGGACAATTCGCCATGACCGCTTCAAAATCCGTTCAAACATGCCACCAAACATCTTGAACTCAACGGAATAGAGCCAACCGGAATGGATTCAACTCGAAAAGCCACGGGGCCAGCATGCGCACAGGCCGCGACCTGGGAGACTGTTTTTTGTGGTTTCTCTTTCCGGTCTCGAAGTAGGTGGATTTGGACCCAACTGCAACGGTTGGTGTCACAGTGTCCCTTTGGTTTTCCCGAACCCCCAAAAAATGTCCTCAAAATCCAAGGCGGTTCTATTTGGTTTTAAAGGGCCGCCCCTCACAATGGACAGAAGGAGCAAGCCCCTCACAATGGAGATAAAACTTCCTAGGCCAAGATGATCGCCAGTGTTGGCTCTGACTCGGACCCAAGCTTGCGACCATCAGAAAAAAAAAGAGCCAACGTGGGAAATTGAAGGCGGCTACATGGCTGTGGTTATCAAAATAGGGAAACCCCAAAATGCTTGCCCTGGTAAATGGAAGCATGGACCAAAACCTGCGGTGCTAATTTTGATCCATACCCAGATGTTGGGACCTTTCTCTTCAACATGGCCACATGCGAAAAAGAAACAGTCAAATTCGCGGCGAATCCATGCTCCAAAGCTGCCCGCTTGCACATCTAGAGCCCTCTCATGTTCAACCACACGCTTCCATTTGCCGAACATGCACTCATTGACGAGTTGCCTCCCAACAGGACGCAAGCAAATTGAGTGGTCGTCACCCCTGGTTATTCTAGGGGAATATTGCCACCTCCCCGGCCCCCCCAAGCCAACAGTACAACAGGAGACCAGTATGTTTGTAAGTTACCACTATGGAGCACCAAAATGGCCAGTCCTGGTTGTTTGCTTGAAACAACCTGGGACAACCCATAGGCCGCAAGTTAGGTTCTCCTTTGGAGAAACAGCGTGAAGGTAGGTAGGGGAGGGGTTTGGATTGGCAACCCTTTGGGAAACCAAAGAACACCCAATCGAATTTCCGCCCTACCTCATCTTTTGTAATCAGACTGGGAGCACGTGCGTACAAACCGGACCTTGGAAAATCAAGAAGTGAAACGTGGTTTGATTCGCTTGCAGCTAAGTCAAGGGGAAACATGCTGAGAGCTTCGACTGGAAGAGGGCCTATGTAAGAAAGGGGCTGGAAAGATCACACCCATCCATCCCCTTCTTCCCTTTCGGTTTTGTTGGTGCCCCTTTGAGGGCGAATCACCTAGGACCTGGCCAAACTCACGGGTGCGCAAAAAAAAACGGTGTTGTTGACTGGGGAATCAACGGTTCAACTGCAATGGACCACCTGAGTCACAATCAAGACCAGGTATGAAAATGGTCTACCCAGAACCATTTAAAGAATTAAGAAGGCGGATTCCCGCAACTATTTCTGGCTGGGACTGCCCCTTACA